TTTTTATAAAGATTATTATACCTTGATTTGTCTGGTGCATAGTTTGGCCTAAAATGTGTGAAGTTATGAAGAAAAGGACTTATTGAATATATAATGATACAACTTTTAGGAAGGGCGAACTGATCAATCAAAGGCAGGCCATTTAATACAGAAAAATGGGGAAAGGTGGGGTGGGTGATGGTGGTGTTGGGATTCGAACACACGTCCTCCGGGCGGGGGGGGGGGGGCGATAATTTAGTGACCTTTACCATCCGGCCACCACCACCGGATATAAAATGCCCGCATTAATTAACCGACTCTCACCTACCGCTTCAAAGACCTGAGGCATGTACCAACGGCCACACCCTGCTAAACTGTTTAAAAAGGGAATTAATCCAAATTCATGACATTCCAAGTCTTCGGTGAGATGGTGTATGGCAGCTATTCCTTAATGGGCGAACGAGATCGAGTTTCTGATCCGGCGCCTCTGCGGAGGAACTTGATCAAGCAAACAGAAAGGTACATAAATAGATACCTAAACTGAATCCAAACTATTCGGGTAGTGAATGAGCTCTTGTTGGGCCACCGACAACCTGCTTTGCAACCTGCACTATGAGAACGTGAGAAAAGCGCTGAAGAAATAAGCCGAATAAAGCTGTGGGACATCTCTCGAACCGAAGAAACTTCATGACCTTCATGAAGGTGGTTTATCGTCCCCCGAAGAAGCCTGTCGTAGTAAAGTTGAAAGGGATTTGATAAATCACTCAAACTAGAGAGGAGTGAAATAGAACAATAACAAAAAACAATTGTGATGTGCAACTTACCTATCTGTCGAAAAATATATTTTTATATTTCCGCGAACATATTCCACAGAGAAGCACTGGGGTTGTATGCGATCTCTGACGATCACGTAAATCTGAAAATAAGCACATAAACGAGGATCAGTAAGAACTGGTGGACGGAATCGTTGTGTGATGACCGAAAAAAGTACTGGATAGCTGTTTTTCCTTTTCGGGTCTAGTTGGTAGAGCGTACCTTTATTTCCCTGCTGGGACTCGAAACGTGAGCATAAAAGCCATAGGCAAATCCTATGGGCTTATGTAAACGTAACAATCGAAGCCATTATACTTGACAGTGCTGCAAGATACTACTCACACTTGTAAGTAGTGCGCGGTTTCTCCCAAATGTCAAAAATGAACAAGACCTGTAGGAGCGAATTGCTGTGTTCAGTATGGTAACTGCAACAATGCGCATCTACTGGTGGGCTGTTCCATTAACTATCTTGTGTGCGGGTGGGAATTCTGAAGACTCATTCCAAATGAGAAATTTGGTTGTATGTAAGCCATTTTATCGATACTATGACTTATAATAACTACATATCCTCTACCCCCCCCCGGGCACCGCCTTGTGAATTTATGATACTTGGATTATGAGTGCATCCGAAAAATTGGTATTCAAACGATGACGGTTAACTAGATATCCCTCACCCTCGTACCATCACGAGACAGCACCTTGACGTGGTGTGATGGCTTGCGTGCCTCCATGACCCTGCGAGCTACACAGGATGGCTTTTCACAGCCGTAGATCCAATCATGCCTGAAACGTCAACGGGTAGAGGCCAGACAAAGCTCAGTCTCACAAAGCCAGCTGCTTGGGCAACTCCTGGCTTCCTTCCTCTATCCACACCTGCCCCTGGAGAGGTCACTCCAGTAAATAAACACGGTGAGGGGTAGTTTATCGGTCGAAAAACCCCCGCAAGATGGACATAGGAGCGGGGTACCTGGGGCTTCCTCTCGACGGTGGGAGAAGTCTTCGCACTTCATTGGACAGCTACCGCCCATCCAAGCTTGGCAGCCCCCAGCCGATAAGGTGCTGTCCCGTCCA